TCCTAACTAGCCTCAGACACTAGCTGTGTAACCTTGGACAAGTCACTTAACTGTAGTCTGCCTCAGTTTCCTTATCTGTAAAATGGAGATAACAATAGTAGCTACTTCCTAGGGCTGTTTAGAAGATAAATGAGATATTTGCATACAGCTTTGCAAACTGTAAGTGCTGTATAAATAATAACTATTAGTAATAAGTGCTAGCTATTCTTATGAGAAAAATGAGGCCCAGGGGAGTGATGTGACTTCTCTAAGGTAATACAACTAATGAGAAAACTAGAATTTGAACCAAGGTATCCCGAATTCCAAGCCTACATTGTTTCCTACACCATCACTGCCTAAATAATTGCTAAATTCCCTTTCAGCTTTAACAATCTATAAATCCATTACCTTTTCCCCAAAAGGATATTGCATCATCTGTATAATGAAGGACCTGATTAGATGATCCCCAAGGTGCCTTCTGGCTTTGACATTCTATGGCTCTCAGATTTGAAGTTCTTCCTGTTCATTGATTTTAAGCAGCTGTTTGTTCCTGGTGTTGCCATGGATTCTGCTTGACCAGCAATAGTTGCACGGATCCCAATGGACTCACCTTAACAGTTAATAGAAAATTCTTGAAGCCTAAACCCAAGCTGGCAAATCTAGCGGGGTTAGGGTAAGTTACTCAAGCGCCTGCAAAGACATGTTCTGGGCAGCATCCTGAAGGGAGCCATACCAGTGTTCACCTCTGCAGGTATCTGGACCATCCTAGCTCCAGAGAAGACTCTTCCCGCAGGCCACAATATCCCTCTGAACAGTAAGGAAATCTTAAAAGGAGCTGAAGTTCCACAGGCCCCTGAAGTAACTAACATTTATAACCTGGAAACCCTAATTCTATCTCTGACCCTAATTCTGCCCCTGTCTCCTTTTCTAACCCTATTTCTGTCTGTCCCTAACCCTAATTCCATTCAATCTCAATTCAACAAGCATTTATTAAGCTCCTACCATGTGCCAGAGTTCTCAGTACAAGGGACACCAAGGCAATAAACAAAGAGGACTCCTGACCTCTAGATGCTTTCATACTGAAAGTTTAATAGAAGGACGAGGCACATCAGTCGACAAAAATGTGCTTGGCCCTTCAGGATATTTTAAAATTCCAGTCCTAGCTTTTTAAGCTAAATAAACTTTTTTCAACAGAAAGCCATCTTGGCTGTTAAATTGAATCCATGTAAAGAAACATAGGCTTTGGAGCTAGGACAGGCCTTAAAGATCATCTAGATCAGAGACATCAAACACTCAGAGCACGAGGCCCCTCAACGCTCCCCGAAGGAACCAGATGAAAATGTAATTGGGAAATATTTATCAAAATATATGAAAATACAATAAGATACAGACAACGTTACATTTTAAAACTAAGTAAGTCTATACATGGCTGGCAGGGATTCTTACGTACGGATTAGTGGCCCATTTCTATTTGAGTTTGAGGTCACTGATCTATCTGATCATTCAAGAAGCATATTTACTAAACACCTATTATGTGCCAGGCTCTGTGCCACATGCTGGGGACATAAAGACATAAACAAAACATTCTTGATCCTCAGGGAGCTTACATTCTATTGAAGGAAACAATGTATGAACATACAAAATACAAATACGATAAATACAAAGTAACTGAGGGAAGAGGGAAAAGTCCAGTTCCCTCACTTTGTAGATGAAGGGTCTGAGGAGAGTTGGGAAATAACTTGCCAAAGCTCACAAAACTAGTTAATAGAAAAGCCAGCATTGGAACCGAAGTCCCTGACTCGTAATGCTGTGTGCTTTTCCATTCAGTAGGCCACATTGGCACTCTAGCTTCTAAAAAAGGCATTTTATTTTTAAAATCCTTTGTGGGGTAAACTGAGCCAGACTCTTTTGAGATCACAATGGCAGTACCATCTGGTAAAAGAATGAATTGAGTAGAAAGAAGGCAAAAGACCCAGCTCTGCCATCTACTACCTTTATGACCTTGGACAAATCCACTTAACAGATGTGAAGGCCAGTATTCCTCATCTGTAAAATGGGATAATGATTGCCCTGCTCTTAGCTTTTATGGTTGTTGCTTTAAATAAGATGATGTATGTGAAAGCTCGAAGAAAAGAAACAAGTGGTACACAATGCAACATTATTATTAAGAAGCAGTCAAGGTGGGATGGCTTTGGGAGCCTCCTGTCTGAAGGAGACTAAGCAGGAGGGGGATATTGGGGATAAATATGGAATAAAAGAGCTGAAAGGGGGTGATAATCAGCCCTCTGGAAAAGATAAATGGCAACCTCTGGGTATTTTTCCAAAAACACAAGAACAGAAGGCTGACCTTTAGCAAGCAAAACATGCAAACTGTTGTCTCCAGGAAAATTAGTATTTCCAGTCCAAATGGCAAAAACTTTACTGGAGAATAGCAACTTACTAACATACCCATAGCATCACCTCAACTAAATAGTCATAATGGCCCCTACATCTAATTATGGATTTTCAGCTCCTTGAAGACCTCTCGGCAAGACAGCCTGGCAGAAATAAAACTCTGGGTTGGGAGTAGGGATGCCTAGGTTCCTTGGGCTGTCCATGCAACACAGAATTACCCATTTGTTTCACCACTGGGTTCTTAGAAAGTCTGCCTTTAGAGGAGCAGAAATACTGTGTTCACATGATTACAAATCACTCCACCCTCACTGACTCATGACATACATTTCACAGAAAGGGAACTTGAATCTCATGTCAATGACATAATTCGTACAGTGATTTTAAATACTCCTTGAAATATCAAGCAGATGGAGGCTGCCTGAGCACTCAAGTCCCTAGGGAAAGGACAGGCTATGTGTATGAAGGATACTTCAAGGAGAGACAATAAATCAAATCACCTGGGCTTCCTAATTCTGAATAAAGTCTGCTCCAGGCTGTCTAGGCACAAAAGATGAGGCTGCTCAGTGCCTTCATCTAGAAAGTAGAGATCACTGAATGGCAGAGAAGTGCCAATTAGTTTACATGGAAAAATGGTAAACATTAGCATGGTATTGTGCAGAAGGGTCCCAGCAGATCAATACTCCCTATTATGCTGAACTAGATTAAAATGTAATTGGGAAATATTTAACGAAATTGGGAAATATTTAACGAAATAAACAAAAAGACAATAAAACATAGATAACATTACATTTTAAAACTAAGTTAATACGCAGCCTTAGAGATCTTTATGTGCTGCTTAGTGATCCCCTTTCTATTTGAGTTTGACACCAATGGTGCATTGGAGTGGATCCTTAGGAGTCAAGAAAGCCTGAATTCAAATCTTGCCAATGACAAAAAATAGTTGTGAGACTTTGGACAAGTACCTTAATCTCTCAGTGTCTCTCAAACAATTCTCTAAGGCAGTGAGTGGTGGAGTGGGGAAGGAAGAAGAGAGGGAAGCTGCCATCTGCATCAGTGAAAGGAGTTTCTCCACTAGAAGCTTCTCAAAGCCCATGTGTGAACATTGTGTGTGTCTGGATTTGTGGGCATAGTGAATTAATAGGATGACAGACTGATAGATGGAGGAAACTATGACGTTATCTGGTTCAATTTCCTCATTTTACAGATGAAGAAACTGAGAACCTTTTAGTTAAGTGATATACTCTGTGTAGGGTTTCATAGCATTAAAAATCTAGAGGCCATCTAGGCTAATCTTGTTTTACAGATGAGGAAACTGAGGCTAAGGGAAGATAAGTGATGTGCCCAAAGTCACACAGTTATTCGAAGGTACAATTTGAATTCAGGTCTTTTAACTCCAGAACTGTCCATCCACAGGTCCTCTGAGGCCAAATCTAGCACTCTTTCCACTCTACCTTCCTCAAAACAAGTTCAAGGGGCAACATTCTACCTAACTAAAATGTTCAAGCTTACAGAAATAGAAAATAAACCCCATCATGGTGGAAATCAAATCTACTTCCCCTTTCTCCACCACAATTCCTAGTATAGCTGTAGGTACACAAAATGTACTCTGCAACACTATCAGCTTGCATATATAATCATTAGACATTTTGCTAAAACTAATGTACCTGAGGGGTGACCCCAGTGCTATATGGACTATATGTATTTTTAAATAATACGTATTTTAAAACACATATTTAAAAAGTTTTTTAAAGAGTTATAGAAAATAATGCAAAGTGAGAAAAGCAGAAGTAGGCACCCTATCCTAAAAGCCATACTCTGGTGGCTAGCACACATATATCTATTGGTATATGCACTCATAACACTATTAGTGATGCTTAAGGTTACTTTTCATTGCAAAGTTGTCTTTAAAAATAAGCTTTTCTGTGCTTCCTTTGCACATGAATTCCCTAGGCACGATCTAGAGAGGCAGCAGGCCCAACTTGGCTAACGCTGAGGGCTGATGAGTGAAAATGGGAAAACATAAGGCGTGAATGAACAAACGCAACCGGTTTTCTTTACCGAGAGGAAGGGGAAACCCTTCACCAAGTCTTATGACAGTCATATGCACGGTCCCTTTAAATGCACACACTCCGGCCCGACACAGAGGAGTGCACACAAGGCAGGTGGGCTTTGGGGATGCAGAGACCTGGGGACAGCTGTGCTCCACTCATACCTGGGCTACGGGTGGGAGGTGGGCCTGAGCAGCCTTCCCCAGCAGCGCAAGGGCCCGGCGTTCACAGTCAGATTGCTTGGCACGCTCCCCGGTAGTGGAGGCTCCCAGGCCATGCGCGGGGATGCAGTGCGAGGCACCCAACGCTCCCCTATCCCTCTCCCTCAGCCCAGGGTGCTGCAGGTAAAGGGAAGCGAGACAGGACAGCGGCCGGGAGGGGCGCGCAACCAAGAGAGCCCCCACCCCGCCGGGCCCCGGGCCGAGCACGCGCGTGCGCACACGCGCCGGACCCCGGGGTGCCCGCTCCTCCGGGGGCCGGAAAGCGCGGGGGGGGGAGGGAGGCGGGGGCTTTCCCGTGGACGGGGAACCGGGGGGGGGGCTTCGCCGTCAGTCGCCCACTCCCCCAGCCCCCACTCACCTGCTCCCAGAGAAGCGCCCCGGCGATGTTTACCTAACTCTCAGGGTAACGGAGCCAGCCCCAGCCCAGGGCCGAGGCACCACCCCCGGCCCGGCCCGCCCCTCCCGGCACTGGGAGCCCCATTGCGCAGCTCCCATTGGCTCATCCCGAGGGCCCAGCCCAGAGACGGGGGGGCGGGGTCATCCCCGCTCGTAGGCCAATTGTAGCTGGAGGCGGGGCGAAAGCAGGGCCAGTGGGCGAGAGAGCTCAAGAATGCCGGCTTCCTGCATGCGGTGGGTAACTTACTGCGTGAGCCTCAGAAGCCCAGCCTGGGCAACAAGTATCTGAGGTTTCTCAGCCGGTGCCTTTGCAAGTCCCCTAGTTGGACTGAATCTCGGGACAAGCAGGCATTTAGTAAAGCACATAGTAGGCGTTTAATAAAGGTTAATGGGCTGCTAGGTGGCACAGTGCATAGAGCTCCAGGCCTGGAGTCAGGAAGACTCATTTTCATTAGTTCAAATCCAGTCTCAGACACTTACTAGCTGTGTGATCCTGGGCAAGTCACTTAACTCTGCCCCCATTTCCTCATCAGTAAAATAAGCTGGGGCAGGAAATGGCAAACCGCTCCAGTATCTCTGCCAAGAAAACCCCAGATGGGGTCACGAAGAGTTGGAAAACAACTGAACAACAACAAATAAAGGTTGATTGATTAATGGTCATTGAGGTCAGTCCCCACATTTTACAGATATGTCCCGGTGAGGTTAAGGGAGCACAGGGATGTAAGATCTGTGACTCCATTTTCATCAGTCTTCCAGCTGTGCCTCACTGCCCCCAAAAGGCTGTTGGAAGTAGGCAAAAGATAGTGAACCAGTGTGTGTGTGTGTGTGTGTGTGTGTGTGTGTGTGTGTGTGTGTGTGAGAGAGAGAGAGAGAGAGAGAGAGAAATGTATTCCTGTGTGACCTAAGTCAGTACTTCCAAATAAGTAAAATGGTAAGATGCTTAGTTTGTGCTTTGAGAAGGACAGTTATTTGTTCAAGTAATGTTTAGTAATATTAGTCACTTGTGTGACATCCTTGTAGTGAAATCTAAGATTTTGAAATGGAAAATTTTATCTCTTTTGAAAAATGCAAAAGAAAAACTAGGTGAGTATTATATTACACCTTTCATGCAACTGAAAGGCCTGGATCTGCCATCATGATGACAGTTTGATGCCTTGAATGGTTTCAGTGTTACCTAGAGAACAGAGAATGGAGAGGTAAGTAAAAGAAGGTGGGCTTACTGACAGCAAGGTTCTAGAGCACATCTATCTAGTCTTCTAGCACTGAAGCAAACCCACTCTCGGCTGGCCTGGACATTGACATAGAAATGGATGCCAGGTGCAAATGACGGGAGACAATACTAACCTGGAATGAAGTAGGCAGAGCTTTGGGGGAAGAGAAGCTACAGAATTAAGACTGAGGTGCAGATTTAGATAGCAGAATCCACGGGAAGGAGGGGATCAAGAGGGAGATCAGGAGAGGGCTCAGGACAAAGCTGCCATGTTATGTGGATGTGTGTATAAACATAGCAATATAACAGGAGGCAGCTGGTGGTACAGTAGATAGAGCTCTGAGCCTAATGTCAGGAAGAAGGGAGTTCAGATTTGACTTCAAACACTTATTAGCTGTGTGATCCTGGGCAAGTCAACTATTTCCTCCCCTGTTGTTAGTTCCTTCCTTCTGAATTAACTTCCATCTACTCTATTCATCTTGTAGTATGTAGTCATTTATATATTGTTTCCCCCATTAGAACATAAGCTTCTTGAAGGCAGGCACTGTCTTTTTTTTTTTTTTTTTTGTGCCATTCTTTGTATTTCCAAGGCCTGGTACATAGTGCCTGGCAAAGAATAAACACTTAATAAATGCTTGTTGGCTGACTAAATGACTTGACTATGTCACGTTTCTTCCCCCTCCCTTCCCTTAATGGGACTGTTAGATTTTTATTTTTTTTTTGGCTAGGCAATGGGGTTAAGTGACTTGCCCAGAGCCACACAGCTAGTTAAGTGTTGTGTGTCTGAGTCCGGATTTGAACTCAGGTACTCCTGAATCCAGGGCCAGTGCTCTATCCACTGCGCCACCTAGCTGCCCCTAGATTTTTTAATTTTGCTGCCAATGTTGGCACATCTGTGTGATTCAATGGAAAGAACACAAACTGAGAACTCAGGAAAAATGGGTTCACCTCCCAGCTCTTCTGCTAACTAGCTTTACCACTTTGGGCAGGTAACTTAATTTCTCTAAGTGTCAGCTTCTCCGTCTGTATAAACGAGGAGACAAGATCGGATAATTTCCTTTCCAGCCTTAACTGTCTAGGATACAATAACAATAACTTACATTTGTATATCAGTTTAAGGTTTATAGGGTGCTTTTTTTTTTTTTTTGGCAGTTGGGGTTAAGTGATTTCCCCGGGGTCACATAGCTAGTAAGTATCAAGTGTTTGGTCTGAGGCTGAATTTGAACTCAGGTCGTCCTGACTTCAGGGCCATTCCTCTATTCACTGCGCCACCTAGCTGCCCCTATAGAGTACTTTCTTTACAACAATCCTACAAGATAGGGAGTGCAAATAATATAATCTCCATTTTACAGCTGAGGGAAATGAGGCTCATTTGTGTGAAATAATTTGCCCAAAGTCACAGCCAGTAAGTGGTAAAGCCAGGACTCTGGTCCAAATGTTCTGGCTCCAAAACCAGTGCTCTTGACACTTTACCAGACTATGTATGTTAGAGAAATCATTCGCTCATCTTCTGCTTGGTCTTTATAGAGCTCAGTTGCAAATTGCTAGATTCAATATCTACTTCATGGAAGAGTTCATCTGGGATATGTAAATTGTATACAAGGTAAATCAAGTCAACAAACATTTATTAAATGTTTACTGTGTGTCAGGCACTGTGCTATAAGGATTGGAGATACAAAAACAAGCAAAAGAAAAGACAGTATTAGTAATAATAAGTAAGGCAAGATTATAATAAACTAAGTGGCTGTTGAAACTTCCTTTGACCCATTCACAAACTAAGACACAACAAAAGAACAGAATTTGTATATCCAAACTAGTGTTGTCTTTCATAATTGCCACTGTCAGGAGTCATCCCTACATTGTAGTAGTACTATCATTGTGCACACCATTTTTAGAGCTCTGCTTTTGTAATAACCTGAACAGTTTTGAGTCTCATGAAAATTTGCATCACAACTTGAGAAAGCTAATTAATTAATTTAATTTAGACTCCAAGTGGTATGACTCTGCTTAGATCCACTTTGTTCATTAGCCTTGGTGCTGAATAACTTTGGCTTTTTTCTCAAATTCAAATCTACCTTCAGAGGATACAAATATGATACCTCTGAGGGGGGATGAAAGACAGTGGCTTTGAAGCCAGTTCCATTTTAGCCTAATTCTGGCATTAAAGTTTGCTGATATCTGAAAGAAGATATTATCTACTTCCAGGGAAAGAACTGATAAATAGAAGTATGCATAGTATGGTTTTACATACATACATATGCACACATGTATACTCACACATATATGTGCCAAATGGTGGCCTTCTCTAGTGTGAGATGGGGAGGGAAGGGAGGGAGACAGTTCAGAACTTAAAATGTAACTAAAAATTTCATTAAAAAAAGAAAAAATACTGATGTCTTTTTAAAAAATTCAGTCAATAAATATTTATTAAATGCCCATTACATGCCAGGTACTATGCTAGGCCATGGGATACAAAGAAAGGCTTTCAAGAAGCTCACATCCTAGTAAGAGAAGCAAAATACAAACAATGATTTACAAACAAGTCACATGCAGGATAAATTGGAAATGATTAAACACTGTCTTCATTTCCTAATATATCTTCTCTCCCCTACTAAGATAGCCTTCCCTAGTTACAAGGAATAAAAAGGAAAGAGGGGAGGAAAGAGGTTCAGTGAAACTAATCAACTCAACAAGTCTTATAGTATATAAAAGGTTCCCTACCTCTGCCAACAAAGGAGGGCCAAGCATTTTCTTAGATCTTCTACAGGGCCAAGATTGGTCATTGTAATTACACAGCATTTGGTTTTGGGTTGTTTTTTTTTTTCCATTTGCAGTGTTGTAGTCTCTGTGTATATTATTTTCCTGGTTCTGCTTACTTCACTTTGCATCAGTTCATATAAGTCTTCTCATGCTTCTCCATATTTTCTGTAGTCATTTCTTATGGCACAGTAATATTGCATTATATTTATGTAGTTATTACCCAATTGATGGGCATCCACTGTATTATTCTGACATTTTTTCTATTAGATTGTAGGTTTAGAGTTGTCTGTGTGCTCCTTGAGGAGAATTTTTCATCCATTTTATACCCTAAACACCTCAAACAGTACCTTACAGGGGCTTAATGACTATAAATTATTAAATTAAATTCTCAAGCATATTGTTTATGGGGAGGAACTCAGTTTAACATAGTCTGAGAACACTGAGTACCCTATCACTGATTTCTATATGGCAGCATTTTATATGATATATTTACAAATCCTGTGATATCCCTATCTATGAAGATGAAAAAATGGAAGCGATCCACAGGTTAGTGGAGAGATATAGTCAGCATCAGTCACTCAGCAGCAGCATATTTATGAAGATGACTCATGTGCAAGAAGTAGCCCAAGCTATGTTTTTTTTTGTGTGTGTTGTTGTTGTTCTGAACCCATGATTTTACTTGATGATGGGAACTCTCAGCAAGGAAACTCCCTCTACCAATGCAAGTCAGTGCCTGCTCTGCACCATAGAGACTTCAGAACATGAGGGAAATCTAGGAAAAATGCATGATCAGGAAGAGGACTGAGCTGGCCATGAAGGAAGAGAGAGAGAATAGAGAATCAGAGTTCTGCATTGTCCCCATGGAATGTAGTAAGACTTAGAGGAACACCTCCAGAAAGTCTGGTTGATATTCTCTGGAGGATGGAATTGATGAGAATTGCACAGGATGAGAAAGTATGGGTGACTGCAATCTGCACCATTGGAGGCAGTGTCCCCATTAGGGATAGCTAAAAACTGAACAAAGACTTTTGGAATATGCTGTATATAGTATAAATCCTGTATCACAGATTCAGTGAAGTTT